AAAATAAATAATAATAATAATAATAATAATAATAATAATAATAATAATAATATTCATTCTCTATCATCCTCCCTCGGTTGAGGAGGATTCGCCCTCGAATCTGAGACGACGAGACCAAGCCGTTTCCTTGCCCTTGCATCCAACACGGCGCCTTGACCATGCCGTCAAACCCATAGGAGCCGCCCAAAAAAAGCTACGATTCGGGCTATATCCTTCGTAAAATTGAATGTATAAGTCGAATTGAAGACCCATCTCAAAATGACCTCGTACTTGACAGTCGGAATCACGAGTCCATCAATAACATCACAAATAGAAAGAATGTGTGGATGGGGAACGTCATACAAAAATTTCTCTCCAATCTTCTCCGGTTTCTCATCAAAAATCGATGGACCGTCGTAAGCCACGAACGGCTCCTCGTCGAAAATCGGGGGGCCCTCGTACTCGATCGAACCAAACTTCTCCTCCGCCACATCGTCGTCCGCCACGAGTGGCTCCTCATCAAACATCGGGGGAGCTTTGGACTCGGCTGAGCCAAACATCACCTCTGCCACGTCGTTGTCCGCCACGACTGGCTCTTCGTAAAAAATCGGTAGACCGTCGTACTCCCGACCCTCCACCTGCTTACCGTCGTCATCGCCGGACGACAGTTGTGGTGTTCGTCCGCGGGGCGCCCCGCCTGGACCACGACCACCACGGCCGCCGCTAAATCCCCCGTGCACGCCCCGGTCGCCGGCGTCACGGTACGTCTGCCAATCCACGTGCATCATGGTACGGAGAGTAAGACGATAATCCGCGGACAGATCTGCAACTTGACGACGCATCGTCTTGAGCTCGCGGCCAAACTTCTCGGTATGGCGGCTCAATTCGTAGATGGCGGCGTCACGCCTGTCGTCTGCAGGATCTCGTCGGCGCGGCTGCATCGTGATCGTGCTGACTTTTGATACCAACTGATGTAACGCAACTTCGAACACAAGGGAAAACAAGAGATGAACTCTTAAATTCTGCAATTTTATTCAAAGATGATTGCGTTCCTAGCAGAAAAGAAGAGAACAAATAGAGTTGATGATCTCCTAAATTCCCTAACTTGCTAGACAAGTAAATAAAAATAAATATTCTCCTAATCTTAATCAACAAGATAATAATAATAATAATAATAATAATAATAATAATAATAATAATAATAATAATAATAATAATAATAATAATAATAGTAATAATCTATTACTATATAATTAGGCAACCCACTTACTAAAAACAGTAAGTGTTTTAGTGGGTCCCTCATTATATTACTATTTATGGAAAGTTAGTTCCAATTTTTTATTATTTTATTAAATGTGCTTCAACATCTGTTAATTATTTTTTTTTTTCATTTTTAATAATAAGTTAATAGTAAAAGTGGACCTAAATTTGTTATTACCAGTTATAGATAGTCATTTTAAAATGTTTTGTCTGTTTTGATTTCTCATTAATATAAAAGTAATTTTCTTTTACATGTACATGATATGTTGAATCTCGGTGAATTATTTATGATGTATGTTAAATAATAATTTATATTTAAAGCCTTCCTAAAAATATGAAGATACTAGATAATAATATGGCACTTATTTAAATAAAAGAATGGTTCACAAATAAAGAAATTATATAAGTATATGAATAGAAAATAATAGTTAATAAATAATATTACATTATAAATTATAAAACCACACAAGTAAGAAATAATATATTCAAGTGTCAAAATACGATCTAAATTACATTATAAATTCAAACAAACTGTAATAAAATGTGCTAAGATAATAGAATAATTTGAGAAAATTCTTATACCCAAACTATATATATTTGCGCATTTAGTACATGGTGTTCCAATTAAATCAATTTAGTTACTCAACTTTTCGTTTATCAATAAATGTTGGTCTACATCGTTAGATTCATAAAAAAGTAACGGTTTTAGAAAGAAATTCGTTAATACTATGTCCATTTGTTCTATTAATAAAAAAACTAAAGAATATATATATAGGAATCTACTTTTAGGCTTTTAGTTCTGAACTTTACATTGTTGCTTCTCGAGTTACAAATAAAAAGACACAAGATACTGATATATAATGAGAAATAAAATATACAGATATAAACATTGTATATAGTAGTCTATTTTAATTACATATAAAAAATTATTTATTCTAGTTATGTTTTCTTATTTCATTTATTTTTAATAGTTCCGTGCATTTGCACGGGCCACGATACTAGTAATAATAATAATGCAACTTAGATAATCAAATTAACACCGGAAGTCGATCGTATTTTTCCAAAAAAGCCATCACGAGCTCGTCTCCATCACCGCATAAGTACAATTAGACCCAAAAAATTGTAGATGGTATCGGCACAATTCTTACACACGTGAAATATTAAATATAAAATCTTGAGAAGAAGCCAATTAATTTGCACCACGTGGCTTCTAGATTCCATACGGTTCAGTAGTTCCTCCTCCAACCACCCTCGCTGATATCAAGGGTGCATAGGATACACCCATTCGTCATTCTCGCTTTGTTTCTTTTAAAAACTCTTCAAACCCCCGCACAGTTCGCATTGCCTTTTTCTTTCACCTTTTTTTTTTTCCCCTAAAAAAAATGGACGGCGGCAGTGGCGGCTGCGCCAGAGATAGCCGCCGGGAGTTGCTCGGCGGAGGCGCGGCGGATATCGAGGACGGGGAGTCGTCGTGGAGGCTCAACATAAGCGAGTTCCGATTGCCGGAGCGCGATGCCGATCATCGTCATCACGCTTTCAGCGTCCGGCGGCTCCTGCGGAACAAGAGTAAGCGAGCATCCTATTCGTATCGCAGCGTCGTTATGCGTGTGCGTTTTTTTTTTGTGTGTGTGTAAGTGTACGTGATGAATGACTGGGTGTTGTTTTGATATGAATTGCTTCAAATTGTACTGGCATCGTGTTCAATTCTGTCTGAGCTATGTTCAATTTTTGTGTAGAAAGTATATTCTTCTCCCTTTTTTCCCTTTACACTGGGACACGGGGTTGATTCATGGGAATAAAGAACAGGGAGAGAATTCTGTGCGATGCTCTCTTTTCCCTTTTTTACTTTTTCTTCAAGAATCTGTAATTTCAAATCTGTTCAGTATTTTTTAATGTATTTCGTATTGTATCTCCGATTTTTCAACTCAATTTGTCACTGGTACACGGGCAACAAAGAGTAGGGTCGCCTACTAATTGATACTTAACATAGACGAGAGAAATTCTACCCTAATCTAATGTCTTTAGATTGTCCTCTACAATTATTTGGGTAATAGTTTATGACATATTCAAGTTATATTAAGAAAGAACGATAATTCTGTCAATTAATATGATGCTTATTGGTTATCTTATGAATTAGCTAATATGTTGATTTCTTTGTATGACAATACCATATGATATATATTTCATTGACCATCTGAATCGAGCAAGTTTCGTGGGTATTCTTGGCAGCTGAAAGATTGTCACTATCTATTTAATGTTCCACTTTCTGTGGGCTAATTTTTTTTTGTGTTAACAAGATGTAACATGCTCCCTTATTTGTTTGTATGGGTGGTCAGTTCTGCTTGTCTGGCTTGTAGCATAATCTTGTTACACTACTAAGTTGAATGCATTTTTTTTCTTACCATTTTACACGTTTCCTTAGGAAAACAGCGAAAAATTTCCGAGTACTACAAAAAGCAGGAGAGGCTCCTGGAAGGATTTAATGAGATGGAGACCATTCATGAATCTGGTTGTTTGCCAGATGCACTGACAGAGGTTGGTTGTTTACTTATTTTCAATAGTGAGCAATTGGAGTTACTATGGCTACCATTCCAGGAGTGTTGTTTGTGAGTGTAACGTCTGAATGCTGAAGTGTCTGTATAGGTTTAATTTTGTGCCTCTTCGGTCAATGGTCATCTACTCTGCTACATCTTTGAAGCACTTACGCACATTCAATTTCTGGTAAAAAAAATTTATGAGCACACCCCATAAAAAAAATAAGATATATTTTTTCGGGTTGAAAATAGAACATGTTTTCGAGGATACTACACTTTCTCATGATTCTTTTTTGATAACTACAAATGAGAAATACCTAATAAAGTTACTGTTTCATTTATTTATTTGCTTAAATTTCTGTCAGGATGAAATGAAACAGCTTGCCAAGAGTGAAAGGATGGCCGTTCATATTTCGAATGTATGCAATCTTTTCCTTTTTATTGCAAAAGTGTATGCGTCAGTTGCGAGCAGATCTTTGGCTGTCATTGCATCAACTATGGATTCTTTCCTCGACCTATTATCCGGTCTGATCCTGTGGTTTACTTCCAATGCAATGAGAAACCCAAACCATTATCATTACCCAATTGGAAAGAAAAGGATGCAACCCGTGGTAAGGTCTTCCTACAGTATATCTCTCTTGCAGAAAACTTTCGTTTAATTTAAGATTATTTAGTAATGAAATAGACAAATTGCCACTGTTTTTTGTTCCTGCAGTGTGCCAGCATCTTTTCTGACATTTTTTTACACGTATTGTCAACTGTTTTTTATCCTTTCATCAAACCTGACTTTTAGGTTGACTTACTGTAGGAAATTAGAAGCATATATTTTATGTGTATTGGAAGACCTTGACCTCTCTTGGGCAGTTTGTGCAGTTATCTTGTGTTGACATGTGGGATTAGACATACTAAGAGACTCTTACTTCCACTTTTGATGTAAAATTTTTTCAATGCCTTATTCTTCATAAGGGGGCCCTTTTTACTTAATTAACTCAAAACATTGCTCACAGGGGATTATTGTTTTCGCATCTGTCATGGCAACTCTGGGACTGCAAATTATATTGGAGTCAGTTCGCCAACTTCTTGCAAAGGTACTTAAATCGTCAAACAAATGCAGTTGTTCTTACTGTTGCTAGATTTGCTTTTGAAATTCATACTTCTTCTTTTTCCTTTCCTTTTTCTGCAGTCTGGCCCTGAGATGGACCATAATCAGGAAATGTGGATGATTGGAATCATGGTGTCTGTAACTGTGATCAAGTTTCTCCTCATGCTTTACTGCCGCAGATTTAAGAATGAAATAGTGAGAGCTTATGCTCAAGACCATTTCTTTGACGTCATCACCAACTCGGTTGGACTGGCCACTGCTGTTTTAGCCGTTCGGTTCTTCTGGTGGATTGATCCTACCGGCGCCATACTTGTAAGTTGTCACACTTCTTTCATTTCTTGTGCATGGTTTTTCTGTCTTTCTTTCCATTTTCTGTCTTTTCAATTTTTAACACCCGAGTTAAAATCAAGATATCTTTATTCGTGTTTACAGATAGCTATATACACAATCAACACTTGGGCTAAGACTGTGGTGGAGAACGTATGGTCCCTGATTGGGCGAACGGCTCCACCAGACTTCCTCGCGAAACTGACGTACCTCATATGGAACCATCATAAAGAGATACAGCACATTGACACGGTCCGGGCCTACACTTTTGGGTCTCATTACTTTGTGGAGGTGGACATTGTTTTGCCACAGGACATGCTGTTGAGCCAGGCCCATAATATTGGCGAGACACTACAGGAGAAGCTGGAGCAGCTTCCTGAGGTCGAGAGGGCTTTTGTTCACATAGACTTTGAGTTCACTCACAGACCGGAGCACAAGAGCAGTGTATGATCCATGTGGAGTCCGTGTTGTTCGGACTGTATAAGTCCATGGCTCTATGACTTCTACTATTGACATCAACTTTAGTTCGTCATATGCATTAGTAGTGCATATTTTTTTCTTCGGCATTTGTACTTTAGGATTTACTTGTCTTCGTGCTTTTTATCTTTTTATTAGTATCAGTAAGCGTTCAGGATATGATGACAATGGGGTAGCTCAGACCGGGTCTACCCCGCGGCTCTAGGCCCGTGCCCTACTATGGGTCCATCAATGTTCAGGTGACCTGATCCGCATCAGGCCGACCTGAAAAGCCCATCAATTCAGATTTTATTCTCACAACTATAAGTAAATCAATAATCTCTCTTAAGTAAACGTTCAGAGGACGTGCGAGGGAAATTCTCCCAAAAATATCGCAACCAATTTTTGAAAGGAGAAGAACAAGTCGCCGACAGAAAGATATTTCTTTTCCGCTCAAAATCTCACGTGCATCAGTTAAAATGATTGGGCCAAGATAATTATAAAGGAGATGGGCAAAGAGATTAATCAAAGAATTTGGGCTGAAAAAACTATATTATCCGAGTGGACCAATTTAATACTTTTAACTCATACCTGATGTAAGAATAAAAGAAATGGGCCAGGGAATTTGAAGGTATTGGGCTATTTCTAATTGGCCAATATAAATATCATAGTAAATGGGCTGGGAATAAATTCCAATTGAGCCGAGAATTATATTCGAGGAATATCAAACGACTAACCAATTGACGACGAATAAAAACTAGAATTATACGACTTATTATATTAATTAGGCTGCATCTAATTAAATAATAACAACTCTAACGGAAAGTGTCGAGCAATGCCGGAATTATACAAAATTAAAAATAAAATAAAATACTATAATTCATATAATCCGGAAAAATCCATAATCCGAACAGTGCACTACAGAGGTGCATGCATCCATTTCCCTAGCAAATACTTTTGAGAAAGATCATCACAAAGTTTGGCGAAAAGACAACTGTTCTTTGAGAAATACCCACCATTACTATTAGCACAACAAATATTACTACCTTCGATTAGCTTTTGTTAAACAACATAAGTATGGTTAATTGTGTTTCTTGAAATCTAGTCGTGTACTTGATTTTATTTGTCTTTCCTTATTCAAGTTATAATTCGGTATTGCATAAAAGTACAGATAGTGGTGAAAATTATTTTCTATGTGAAGTGAATGGGGTTTGATTTAATCCTTGTTTATTTTAGGTTAGAATTATGTTATTTAGTTCGTAGTTGCAGTGGATGCTTGTTGACATCGTCCTTCGTCCTTATATATTAATCCAGAACGCGTTGAGCCTACGTGGCTGTTTTTGGTGTTTCGGAATCTTATGTGGCAAAATTACATGCTTCGTTATTAGACTTGGGTAAATTTTAATTTAATTCCAAACCAAAAATAATTAGGTTCGGATTACCATAGATATGTTGATTATTTATGGTCATGTTACATGTATTAATTGCATTTTAATATCATTCTTTATTATAACTATTGAATTGTATATATATCATAAAAGTTAATAACTTTTGTATTTTTTATCAGTTTTACATATGTAATATATCAAATTAATCTTCTTTTGATGAGTTTGGATGTTATTGCATTTTAATATCATTCTTTATTATAACTATTGAATTGTATATATATTTTAAAAGTTAGTAACTTTTGTATTTTTTTTTTATCAATTTTACATATGTAATATATCAAATTAATCTTCTTTTGATGAGCTTCGATTTAACATCCATTTTGTATGTATAAAAAAAATAATTTATATTTATATTTATAACAATAATAAAATTATTTTTAATATTAATTCGAAGAATAAAATTATTTATCAACTAATATATTTATATTTTCAAGTAGTTATATGATATAAGTTACAAAAATTAATATAATATAACACATGTAAGTCATAAGTAACACATATCATTCTAAAATATATAATAATATATTTTTTTTGTAAAAAAGTAAACTGAATTTAATATAATTTTCTCATTAATTTTAAAATTTAAGAATAATTTTTTAACAAGCACCCGTGTAATACACGGATGTTGTACTAGTTATTATATATTTAATAATTATTTGAATGTTTTATTCATCGAAATTTGTTTTATTACCAAAGATTTAGAATGATGGTGAATGTTTTATGTGTGTGTAATTGATGGAGAAAGTGTTAAATTAGAACTTAAAAAGTGATATATGTTACATTAGAAGTGTTACACTTAGAACTAAAAGTGCTTCATTAAAAATAAATAAATAAATAATAAAAAAAAAAATGAATCTGATACAATTAAGAACCAAAATGATACATTTCAATCAAGAAGTGCTACAAAAGAATGCTGCATCGGATAACAAAGTGTTACATATAGCATTTACTAAGTGTTACTTCTGCATTGAATAACAAAGTGCAACACATAGCATTTAGTAAGTGTTACTTCACAGTGATACGATTAGTTAAGGTAACACAAAAGTAAAGTATTACCAAAAGTTATTTAAAGTGTTACCTTAAACAAAAGGTAACAAGGGCAACTGCAGCACAACAATTGTATTACATTTAGTTTATAGTAACATTTTAAAGTTATTAGGTATCATTATTTTTATGTTATCTAACGATATTTTTGTTGTAGTGATTGACATCTCTTCATCCATACACGCCCCTGGCGGTGCATGTCCACTAAACGGTGGTAGTTCTAACATGAAAATCACAGGCTTAGGGCTGGGAACCACTGGAGGTCTCCTATCTGTCCAAGTTCCCAAAATTCCTCACTCAAATTCTTCTGTATACCTTCATTCTCATCCATGTCAAGTGATCGAAAACTAGTGTGAAGCTCTTAATTCTTTCAAAATCTCCCCACAGACGGTGTCAAAATGATGGATCACTACCCTGACCTAGGTGAAACCGGTTGAAATGAGGTTTAATCTGCCTAGAACGGCCGCGCGCATGCAACTGCAGGAACTCAATGCCGGAAAGGATTCCGACAAAAGTCTTTGATGCTTAAGTTAGTAACTGGAAGACGATGGTGGTACTATGTGAATAGAGAAATGTATAATATATAGAGAATGTAAAATTAGGGTTTGGTTATACCTCAGTCCTTTTTATAGGAAAATACTTGCCCAAAATGCTCTGCCGGGTACCCCCGGGAAGCCTACACTGCTGACCGGTTTTAGTACTTATTCATATCTTAATCATCTCTTAGTCAGATCCTAGTCACCTTTATATTCTTTCTTGTCCTCTGTAATCTTCTAGCCCTAGGTCGTGATCCTTTCTGAGAACATCCGCTCCACCGTCTATCTAGAGCTGTTAAGTCATCTTAAAGTAGTACAGGTCGACTTAGGCTATATTTTGAGGATCGAGTCACCAGATATCCTTCCTCGAGGAATAGGTCGTCCTAAGGGCTCTCAGTTCGTCTTAGTTGCTCTTAGATCGGGTTATGTCAACCTCGAGCTACTAGCATCCTAATCTCGAGGTCGTCATGGTCCTTAAATATTCTTTTTAGGTCGGCCTATTCAAGTCGACTTATACTCCGGTCGGGCTCCCATCACAATCCAATTTACGGAAGTATGGTTATATCACCACATATTTTCTTAACAACTCCCCTTCCTCTTGTCTCATGGCCATCAAAGACAAATAGGTCTTCTCCTGGGCAACGACACTAGCATATTGATTCAAGAACAAGTCCGAAAAGTCTATGAAATCCTTCATCGACCCAGGAGGAGTTGGTGAAACCAATCCAACACCCCTCCTCTCAAGGTCGAGAGGAATGCCCTACAACTCACCGGGCCTGAATACCCTGCAACACAACCATATTTTCAATGATCTCACGTACCTCGATAGATCGGTCGACCCGTCGTATGCTAAACTTGTATCCTGAAAATTATTTGGCAGCGCCGCCTCCAAGATCTCCATCCAGAAAGGGTGTCCTCGAGCTCGACCAATTGGCTTGCCATTGACATTTGCCTGCAACTGGCGCAACTGCTCCACTATTCTCTCCAAGGCTCGATCTCTCTTGGCTCCATCTTCCTTGTAGATTGATTCGTCCTCATCGGTATTCTACTCTTGTGCACCCACCACCGTGGTCAGCGTGGTGGTGGCGTGAGAAGTGTGATGAGTGGCTTGTTGCACCGCTCCAGCTACGAACACGTTGGCAATCATCCTCTTCAACTCCTCTCTAGACATCGTCACTAATTGGCCTCGCTCTGCCTCCGCCCTTGATGGTCCTCCCACCTGGACCACCTTTTCTCCTGGTTGCGCTCCGACCAGATCTACCATCTAATGGGTTGGAACAACTGCATCCAGGGTTGCTCGAGCCTTTTGGGCTCGGCTCGAGCCTGCAACAGCTATATGGACCACCGATGAACCCCCTAAGCCCTGAGGAGGAGACATCGGGGTCACCGGGGTCTGGGAAGTTCTAGAGAAGCCTGACGGAGGGCAAACTCCGAACGACTGCGTGGTCGTCCACGCATAATCGAACATTGGTACTAAATTCTTTCTTGTGATTTCACCCTCCATGGCTATGGAGTACCACACATCTTTCTAAACGAGGTCCCACATATGGCGCTAAAATGGTAAGCAAAAGACCTTGGACTGGCTGGAATCGACCTCGCGTTGACCTTCCTCGTCGGTAAATCACCTGCGAACTTGCAAAAACTTTCACATCGGAGGGGCTTTTAGTGAAAAGCCTTTGATGCTTAAATGAACACTTGTAGAAGAGTGCAGAAAAGTATAGTGTGTATGTAAACATAATGGCTAAAATCGCACATCCCCACCAATGTTTAGAAGCCTGCCTGGATTTGGTGAGTTAGCTGCCAGATAGTACAGCTCGCACTGCCCATAATGTCGGAGATGGTTACAGGGTGTGGACCAATTAGGTAGTGTCACGTGGCCTTGTCCCATGTGCAACACTAATTATAGCAAGATTCCTTCTTATCTTTCATATTAGACCACATAATGATGCGACCAACTCGAGGTCTGCTGAGGTAGAATGCTAACTGCTTTGAGTCCTAGCGTTTTTCCTTCTGGTCACTCGTACGACCAACCATCCCTGCAGGTCGAGTTTCTATCAGGCCATCCGATGGTCCTATCTCAACATGTAGTTGCTGCCCTGTACCTCCTATGCTATCCTCTAGATCAAAGGTTCTTAGTCTTGCTGTGTTGGTGACATTCGACCACCACTGACCCTGTTGTGGTTCCGCTCAACCACACGGTTCGCTAGGCCTAGTTGACCGGTTTTATTCCCTTAGTTATGATATCTCATATCAAATATCTTCGTCTATCTGTCGCATAGATCATCGCATAATATCTTCGTTTCTCTGTCGCTTAATCTCTTTCACACTTTGTCAATTATATCCGTATGTCTGTTGCATAGCTTATCGCATAATTTGTTTTAGACTTTATCAATCAACCTCATAAAGATGAAGTAACTTAAAAACAAATTCAATTCTAAAATAAATTAAATAATACTAAAATAAAACTTATTTAGCTATGACTTCTAGAAGTTGAAAATAATTTTAACCTTATAATAACATTCATTCCAATTAGATGGTTCATCTTGAGAAAAAGAAGGAAGTAGAAAGAACTAAGTTGAAAATATTTAACCTTATCATAACATTAATTTCAATTAGATGGCTACATTTTTATAAAACAATAATAGCGTAAATTTATTTCCATATTGTAGTAACTTTTGTCATTGATCGTGTTGATAATGATTAACATGATATTAGGAGATTTTTAACTTTAATGGATGTTGATAATGTTGATGAAGTCATATTGTTTCGTGCGTTATATATTTTAGTTTATTTTTTATTTTGATTTTTTTTATTTAGTAAAACCAATAATAATGTCTATTATACATTTTAATATGATGAATTGTCTTATATTTTTATAAATGTCATTGGATTAGTTGTTTCAATCCAACCTATTCAAATGAAGGTTGTCAACGGAGTTCCTACTCAAATGATTCTCATCTTTATTATGGATTAGAAGTAAGAATTTTTAGCATTATATATTCATAATTTTTTCAATCATTTTATATACTTTTTTTCTATCATCTTATATAATAATTGTTTCGATTTTATTTTTTATCGCATGCAATGATATTAAAAAAAAATTATATGATATTGTTTAAAAAATATTTTTGCAACTCATAAGATGCCTTTATAAATTTTTTTCGACATTATGTAGGGGAAACATCAGGAAATGCACGCTTTGGAGCAACATGTTGACAAGTTGATTAGTTTAGAGCATCAACACCAAAATGAAGCACCTTTTGTCCTCATCGTGCAAATGTGTCGTGCGAAGAAGTGGAGAGGTAATTCATTATTTTAATGTAATCAAACTCAATAATTAAATCGACCACTTTTTTAATTGGCTAATCCAATACATTCTCTAATAGGTGAAGTTCAAATAAGCACATTAAAGGACGTGGCCCTACTCATCGTTGTTGATGTTCCCGAAATGCAAGATTTTCGAAGGAGGTACAAATAATTTGTTATCTTATAAACCTTTTTTCATGGGTAAGTGTAGCTCCTCAACTTAGATTTGAACATTTATGTATGTCATTGTCTAACAAGGACAGTAGCGAGTAAAATTAAAGATACCAAATTGATGTCCAGTAGCTCAATTATTGTCAAGACCGAAATACAAAAACTTGATGCCAGTTATAATTTTGTTTTCATTTTTTCTTTTTTTTACAGTTTTAAATTTTTTTCCTTAAAGTTGTCATTATAAAGTTGGCGCACCAGCCTTGGCCTTTTAATTAGTTGAAGTTAAAATCATACTTTTTTTTTTTATCTTATTGAAATGTTTTTTTATTAATTTTACAATCGAATATAGTTTTTATTTATTATTTATATGATTTTCTAACGTAGATTTGCTCGAACATAAAACCCAGTACATCGCATGCGTACTGTACTAGTTCAATAGATCTATTAGCATATTATGGATCTGCAGATAATAGAGCTATCTTTACCAACAAAGTGACCCCATACACTTCAAATATCGTAAATGTTAGCAAGTATTCTATAACAAGACTCATTTTTAGTAGCAAATGGGAAATGGAAAAATTAGAAAAATATTTAATCCATACCACAAATGCCAAAACGTCAAACACTATACACACACACACACACACACACACACACACACACACTTTTCACCTGCATACTTCTTCTCTTCCTGCAAAATAAATATAAGATCCTGAGTAGCAAATTCATACACAATGTCATGATAAATGCTAGTTTTCTATTAAAGAATGTGTACAAAATAACTGAAAGTAATAACAATTAACAAATAGGTAGGTTTCAGATTTACATGCTTCATGCAGGAAGCCTGTTCAACGGCTTTATAGTGGCGACCCTGCTGTAATCGGGCTTCGAGTATTTCTCGTAAGTCACTTTCAAAAGACTTGTTTTAGCAGCTTTGTGAAACTTCAGAATCATCTCCGCACAATCCCTGGCAAAAAGTTCAGAAAGTGGGAGTTAAAAGTTTAAAATCTATGAACCCGAAGTTCCAACAACAAAAGCAACATCTAATAAAACCGGGAAAAAACAAACCTGATCTTAGATTCTTCATATCGTGCATGTTTTGCTAGGAGTGGGGTCCAGTAGGGAGCCATTTGCATCGTGCATCGTGCAACATAGATAGCAGAAGCACACAGCATCGAGGCCTTGTAGTTCAAAGCTTCATATTCGACTAAGCACAGCTCAATCAGGTAAAAAGCCAGGTGTTCAAACTGGGGAAAAAAAAGGGAGAGAAAGTACTCAAACATGAAATTAAACAAAAAATAGACATTAATAAAAAGAAATATGCATTTAACAAAAATAGTTACACACACCTTCACGTCTGACTGAGCAGCCTTGAGAAACCTAAGCATGAAGACGTAGGGTGTTGGCTCATTAAGACGGAACTTTAATTTCTTTAAGATCGCCTTCTCCTGATATTTGAAAACAACACAAACACACCTAATATTTAGCCACTTGATCAACTACAAGTAAACCTTGGAATAAAAGAATTTAAAGAATTTAATATTCGCACTGACTACTGATTTTGCAGATAATGAAAATTTGATTCTCTACATTAATACAAAACAAATAAAAGAGAAGGGTCTGCACCAACCATATTAAGCATTTCATCCCTACTATATGACTCCGCTGAGATGCTTATTAAGTCAGTGACCTGTAATTAACGCACAGAAAAGTCGAGTGAGAAGATTCTTCCTCAGGACTATTTCACAATCAACAAACTGCCTATACTCAAAAGAGACAGTGGTAGGATTTGCATGCGTGAAATTCTTTACCCGAGGGTGCCAAAAGTCTTCGTACTTAGATGCCAACAGGAGAGCAGTAAGCCCGACTAACTGCATTTCATTTTTTCTGATGCTCTCAAGGGAAAGGTACCGATCCAAGAGGGTAACAGTAAGGAAAAGAGTTTCTTCCATCAAATCAAATCTTACATGCACCTGCGATCAAGATGAAGGTAGTAAGGAAAAAAGAGAACAGGAAGCTGCCGAAGCCAGAAAAAAAGAATAAAACGGGAAAAATTATATGCCATAAAAGAAGAGCGAGAAAACAACCTCGACAAGCCAATTTATCAGTATACCACGCATTTGTCGTGTAATATCTCTCTGTTTTTCCATGTAGTTCTTTAGAAGAGGATTTTGACCCTGCAATTGGATGTTTGATAAAGTGCAACAACAGGACAAATAAATAAACATCTGAAAATAAAAAATGTTCTAAATAATACAAAAAAGGAGCAAACTAACCTCCATAACCCAATAATATTGATAGATATCATCGACATACTCACAAACTTCAAGATGATTACGGTCATCATAGATACTAGGCAAAGTTTCCTCAGAAGGAACTCTGCTATGCTTCTTTAGAAACTGCAAAAGTATGTCTTTGATTAGCATCATAGAAAATAAACTAGTTGTAATCAGGGGCCAATAAAGTGAATACTAACCTTTGAACTAGACACTAATGAACCCGTGTATGAATTCCTGCGTTCAGACTTTCTCCTTAATATGACAGTACTACCAGAAGTATCCTCCTCTAGTGATGGTTCTTCTTCCTGGCATACAAGAGAATGGATATTCTTGCCCTGCTCTCCCTTGGATAAATCAGCAGGTTTGGACCTCAAATTCTTCGTGGTTAACATGTGCTTCGGTTTTGTGTTTGTCCGAGTATTATGAGATGTGGCCGTAGCTTTCACAGTGGGCTGGAAATGGGATAAAACATCAATTTCTCAATATAAGAGGATAGAATCTGCATAGACTTGGGTATTGCAAGCATTATAATGTTTATAAGTTTTTGAGAAGACTAGTTTGATGCCAATAACTTTCTAAACTTCATTGCCATGGAAAGAAACTAAAGCAAACTACTTGAGACAAACTAAGTTCATTTGTTCTCTAATATGAATGTAAATAGAAAATACAAGGAAAAAGAAAACAATATTTTTTTTTTACTTGCAGTCAACATTTTACAGCACCTTATGTTATCAATGCTGGAAATAAGTTTATTGACCTCAGAAAATATTTAACTGCAAAATAAGATAGGCGCGTGTTCGTAAACAGCAGAGATATAAATGACAACAGACTTAGATGTTATTCCCATCCAGTCGTGTACCTTTTCTTTCTACTCCAACAAACAGAGACGTACCAACATCCATAACTTAAATAATTGAATTTAGTTCTCCGGGAATAGACAATTCAAATTAGTTAGAATAAAAAAGCAAACCACAATTCAAAGTGGAAACAAATAAAAAAAGTTTGAATATGATAGTGTCTCTCTGTGGACTAAGCAATTCCAAAGAGGCCATAGAGATGCTATGAAGCACAACAGATCATAGTTAAGTTTGTTGCTAGCTCTACTCATTAGGAAAACTTTGGTTTAATAAATTCTTACAACCAAACACCAGCCACAAGTAGGATGGAGTCAATGCACAAAACTTAAAGACAATGCCTTTCTAATTGTCTACACGGCACATAAATACAATCCCGACAAGCTCATGCAGATTTAAAACTAAACCTTCAGGAAATCTGCTCCCTTGTACTAAATTCCTCATCCCAAAAACTCCATCCATTGCCCAACATATTTAGCATTAGTGAGAAGACATCATGGTCTACAAGTGCAAACAAGTCCATTATTGATGGCCAACCCAAACAAATGTCATGCAATAGAAAAATTAAACATGACCAATGAGACAGAGAACACTTCGATCAAAGTAACAATTGGGTCACATTGTACTACAATGGGGGTAAATGAAAACTACAACATCCTTCGCTTACTTTAACAGATTTTCTTGATAATAATCCAGCATCCACCTTAGTTTGAGCTCTTGATGCCCTGATAAATACATGCCGTATTACAAACAAATAAAGTTAGTATCCACCTTAGCCGAGCTCCTGATGCCCTGATACAGACATGCCATGCCAAATTACAAACCAAAAAAATTTATACAACTAAAAACACACATTTCAATTTGTTTAGCACACTAGCTTGCCGTGTTCTATTCAACTTTTAGTACTTTAACAAAATATGGTGCTTCACTAAGTTCCAGGTAATCAAATCTTCAATTAAAAGCTAAAAATGGATGTGAGTTAGAAATTGCCAGAGTACTGGTTAAAAAGGCAGACTGCGACGAATGACGAACAAGTTGGTCATAAAGGAGAAGTAACTCTAAGTTACCAAGAGAAAGACCAATTCCATAGTTACCAAATTCATATAAGTAAAACATAACAACATTATTGCTTGGACGGATATATTGGGATGAACAATTTTCACATATAGACTGACCCATATACTCCATTAGAGTATCTGAGTTGAGATGTTAAAATTAGTTGGCAGCTCCAAAAAGAAAGGTGATGGGCAATCAACCAGTGTAACATATTAATTTTATCTCCAATTATCAGTCATTAAATCATTTAAGGATCCACAGTTTCAAATGAATCCACCACATTTATGCTGGCTCTACATTCAGGAATAAAACAATTCAACACTCAAACAGAAACATTAATCATTACATATGTATGGACTCCAATTCACATTCCCTACTCCAACTTTAATGTAAATGGATGGAGCTTGTAGTGTTATTGAAAAAAATGCACACACCGAACAAAGCGCATCTGTTTTTCCTAGTGATACAAGAAGTCCCCTTGAAATGAGTAGAGTACGCACCACCTCCAAATAAAATTATTAATTGACTGGCTCATAGCGCAGAAGCTCAAAATGGCAAAGAGTTCAACATTTTATATGGCTTACATTACTATGAAGCCATCACTAACTCTGTTCCCCCAAGGACGGCTTTTCACAGTGCTTGGCTTTGGTACCGTGCTTCTCTTGACACTGGGCTTCACTGAAATCAATAAAATTTAGCATCATTAATTAGATTCACATTCATGAATTTCTGTCGGTAGAAATAACCATTCAGGATCAGCCTTAGCAAAAGAGCTCACTAGGGAAGCCATGCTTTCCACCAATTTTATCTGACTTCTCAGAGTTATCCTGGAGCAACATGTAATAAAACTACGTCAAACTCACAACATAAATATAAGTCCATGGTTATAAAATTAGACGTGGGATCATCAAAACCTTTGCTGTGCCACTTGTTTCCACCCGGATGGCCTTGTTTAGTGCTGGTAAAGATTTTCTTCCCGTAAACAACAGAACAGGCATGTCAATACTCAAATCATAACATTTAAAAAAGTCAACTGAAAACTAAATGCTACTCCTCTAACCTTGTCAGATGGAGAGGAATTCCAGCGGATTTCCTAGAAAACCAGTGTTAAAAGAAATCCTTAAGTACATATATCAATTACCAAGTTAATAAAAAGGTTAACATAAAACACAATAATAAAAGGGAAAAAAATCTATAGCTGAAAATCTGGCAAAAAAAGTGAAGCACTTAGACATACCTGCCAGAAGCAGCTGCAGAGCTACGGCCTTGAAATTTGGTCCTCAATTCATGAGGAGGTTTAATGCTTTTTCTGACAGCTGCCATCCAGCAAAAGGAACGCATAAGAGAGAGAGCATGTTTACATCAACTCATACTGTAGGGACAAGAAACCAAAACTTACTCTTCCTTAGAGTTTGGTTGTCATCTGTAACATGAATGTGGTGAAATCTTGTGTTATCCTATTTAAAAGACAAATTCAGAGCCTGGCTGCTTGATGAATAAATATATGGCAGTGAATTGCATTGTAATTTTCACCGAATCCATTACTGGATATGAGTATATGGATAAAATGGAATGAAACCTATATGTGAAAAGTTAATACAAAACACTCTGTGCAATGATGCTAGGGATTTCATGATTTACTTAACTTTTACTGGAAACACCCTAAAGACAAGCCATGGAGGGAGTTGGTCTATACTGACTGTTTAACAGCTAGGAGAAGCCACTATAGCACTATAACTCTAAAGATGGCATGTATGCCGTCAAAATTCGTTCACGTACCCTTGATTGTTTGTCTGATGTACTAGGTTCCATGTTGCCCATATCCACTGCATCTCTGTGAAACCATCAGAAAAGAAACTAGAAAATGAACCATGCAAGTAAAGAAAATAAATAGCAACAGAGTGGCTAATCCAAGAAAAATTTAGCAACTAAAAGAAATTCTTTTGTGACACTTAGAGAGATTACTCTAGAGAGATGATACTTACCTCTCTTGAAACACCATCTGTTCACTTTTGCCCTTCCTGCAGTAATGTATGCATGAGAATAACAGAATCTCAAAATTCACTGTAATTTTAGATTCATAAAATATACCTTCGTGGACACAGCATTGCATCGGTTTTTCCCCTCCTGCAGCAGGCTGGTGTATTAGAATGACATAACTGAACAATATCACAATATTTGAATTTTTCTCTTAATTCTCTCTGTTTCTTAACTTCTCTTTACTTCGGAAGTACATAAACAACATCACTTACCCTGACCAGGAGCTTTTTGTCTTTTCAGTCTTTGAAAATGTGCTCCTCCTCACATTGCCAATATCACCTAAAACTTTTCTACCTGCATTTTCTGTCACTGCAATGAGAAGTTTCAGTCACTGCAATCAGCCAAAACGTTTCTACCAGTTCTTTCCATGTATCTGACATTAATCATTGCAAATACCAGACCTGGCTTGCTTTTGCTTATCCCTGATTTCTTGATGATTTTCTAGAGATAGTAACATGAAAACAGAAATGACACTCATCGTGAGAGATGTGGCAAGCCCATAATGTACAATACACTAACAAAAGGAAAAATATACGGACCTTTGCATCAGCAGTGAGTGGATACTGCTCCCTGCCATGTGAAACAGACTTGCTAAATTATAAGTTATTTTTAATTGGAAAAGGGGGAAATAAAAAGGAGTCCTTGGAGACCTAGGTCATGTTATAAAAGCATTAAACTGTAAAAAGGCGCAATGGAAACTTACTATGCCATAACCACACCTCAGGACAAGCTTTAACCATTTAAAAAAAGATGTGAACAACAAACTGATTAACACTTACTTGGTAGCATTGTTAAGAGAGTGACGGTTTTTAACTTTGTCAGATTCCACATAAATCTTCAAATTCTTCACTTCACCTACCTCATAACAAATTACATGCAACTAAAGGTAAGCTACAATGATATGAACAGGGAATACAGTAGTTCAATCTATGATTCAAGAAATTACCAGTACTACTCATTTTCGGGCCTTGAGTTGCACGATCTTTGAGAGAACTCAATCGTTCCTAACAAGTCAGATAATCTCAAGAGTCAGATTTTCCAAGAGTTGCTACTCATTGTCAACAATCCCAAGAGTCAGATTTCCGTTTGATATCTAAAGAATCACACACACACACACACACACACACACACACGCACAGACACACGCACACTCAGAGACACAGACACAGACACACACACAGACACGCACACAATGAATTACCCAATATCACTCGTCTTGAATCACGAGATACCCAATTTTAACTCGTCTTTAATCTAATCTAGGGTTCCTTCAAAACGTTGATTGTCAAAACCAAGGACCAGAAAAAGAGGATCGGAAAATATGTCAAAGAGAAGAAACTCGTGTTTTCAACAACAGTACCTTAACGGCCACCATTTCTTTCTCCGATCAAATTCCTTCACAGTTGATGCCGACGATAAGCTCTTCTCACGATCGTAATCGTAACAGATGATTATTACAAAACCCTAGTGTGGCAAACGATTCGATTACTAAAGAGGGGAAATCTCAGCAATGGCTTGCCATATTCTCATTTGAATTGATTTTACCGTTGGGTGCAAGCATACAAATACCGCCCTTTTCGATGTTTGAAACTTTGAATGCATACCAAAAGAGAGCGAGTACCTTATTTGTAGTGTTGTTTACTTTTTTTTTGTGCTTGATTAACTTTGTAATTCTTGCAATGTTTTGTATTTATGTTAATTTAAATTTAATTAAATTTCATTTTTTTATAATTTTAATAATAAATTATTGATTAATTTACTTCCTTTTTAAATTTGAAAAATATATGTTATGAATATTTAATTACTTTTTAGCTAATAAATCTCACAATAAATATTAATTTAATTCTTTTATATTTGATACCCAAAATAACTGCTTATATTTATTTTTGTACATTAGCATAAATTTTCACTTATATGGAACTCTTGGAC